AAAAAAATTACTAACTTTGAAATGCACAAAAATGAATGCAACCTTTTGACAGCTTTGACTTTTACAATGAATGCCCTGATTTACATTAATTCTATGTTGCCTCCCCTGTAAATAATGAACAAATAAAGATGGGGGAGCAGAACACTACAAACAACCCAGTACTTAAACACAAAACATTAAAAATACAGGGGATTTTGTTGTCTCATGGTGCTGACCCAAGTCATGGTATTTTCAATTGCCTCATATGCATGTGAAACTGTGAAACTTAGAACGTGAATATGGAAGACTGAAGAATAATAGATGCATCTGAGTTTTTGTGCTGGTGAAAAATATTGAAAGTACCACAAATTACCAAAAGAAGAAACAAATGTGTCTTGAAATAAGTTGATAGAATACTCCTTAGAAGCAAGGGTGGGAAGAATTAAGTCTCATATACTTTGGACTATGATATCAGGAGAGATCAGTCCCTGGAAAAGGACATCATTCTTGGTGGAGGGGGAGAGACATGAGGAAGACACTCAAGATGGACTGGCACAATGGCTGCAATAATGGGCACAAACTTCAAGAACATTCGTGAGGAAGGCGGAAGGCGTAGGATCGGGCAATGTTTTGTTCTGTTGTATGTACGTGGAGTCACTAAGAGTCAGAACAGACTCGATGGCACCTAACAATAATACAACATGGTGCTCTGCACTAAAGAAGAATTTTTAAGAATTGGATATACTTGTCCAAACAACCAAAGTTGTTTGGTCATCCCAGTACTTCTCACAAATCCTTGAGACTTCATACTTGAGAAGGGCATAGGGGATACCAATCGGTGTCTGCAGTCAGACCTAGATTCCAAATGGGCCCTCAGTCCCAAGAGTCCTGCCACCTAACTTCATTATTTGGTACCACTGAATCAGTTCTGACTCTTAGCGACCCCACGGACAACCAAATAGAACACCGCCGTATCCTTCACCATTTTCACAATTGTTATGTTTGAGGCCACTGCCACCGCGTCTGTGTCAATCCCTCTTCTCTTTTTTGCTGACCCTCCAAATTACCAAGCATGAGGTCCCCACCCCACCCTGTCCCCCCCTAAACGGGTCTTTCCAAATAACATGTCCAAAGTATGTGAGACAAAGTCTCTTCATCCTTGCCTCTGAAGAGCACGCTGGCTGTATTTCTTTCTTCCAAGACAGATGTTTGTTCTTCGGGCAGCGTGTGTTGCTTTCTCTATGGTAGTGGCTTGAGTAGCGGTGTAATGCTGGAAGCTATGCCACTGGTATTGCAAAGGTGAGTGAGGTCACCCATGGAGCACAGGTTTCAGCCAAGCTTCCAAACTAAGACCCGAGTATGAAGATGGAACAGGTTTGACCATTTCTACCAGACGTGGCACTAAAAACACCCAGAAGAACCACTGCCTCTTCCACCTTAAGTACGCTTGGTTTTGTTAGGTAGGCCAGCATAGGACTGGGGGATGTCCATTAACGTGTGCCCAGAGGGCCAAGCTATGGAAACAAAGGAGTGGCACACCGCCCATGTTCAGGGTTTCTGCCAGTAAGCAGGGGTGAGCGTGAACTTGGATTGGCTCACCTAGCCAGGTGAATTCAATTTAGCCAATGGGGTCGATCAGGGGTCGTCCACCACGCCTCCCTGTAGAATCCTTGAAAAGGCAGAAGCCCGGAGCCGGGAAGAGAGCATTTAGGCGCAGAGAGCTTTGTGACGCTTTGCGGGACGCTGAGCCGCTTCCAGCCAGGCCGCATGTCAGGGGGGTGCCGTGTAAACCTGAAACTTCTTCTAACCCTCATAAAACTCACTTCGATCACGAACCAGGCTTCAGCGTGAATTCTTTCTGGCGCGGAGCCAAGGACCGAGGTATAAATCTAGCTCCAGAGAGATCTAACAGTTTAACAAGCAGATCAGATTTCTGCTGCTCAGGTAGGAGTTTCTAGAGGGCTTCTGATAAATTTCCTAATCCTTCAAAGTCCGAATTCCCTGCTAGTTTATTAAGTGAGGGAATAATGTATATTGTACTGACTTTGACCTTTGTCAGGCATTGTTCTAAAAGGCCTTAACCCTCACAGCCCTCTGAAGCAACTCTATGCCTGTTTTTATCACATTTCATAATGGGCACATCCCGTGTAAACTGCTTTAAACTTGGTGAGTACGTCATCAAAGTTAATTATGGGGCCACGTGCCAAACTAAACCCCTATGCATGCAGAAACTCTGAAACGAGGCTTCAAGGCGACAAGCGTGAGCGAGCCAAGGGAAACAGCCACAACACTGTGACTTGTGTGGCTGTTCTTGCTACTTCACCCTCTCAGAGTGGCAGGCCGACGCGGGCCCACGAGCCCGGCGGGCCTGGGTCAGCGCCGCGCCCCCGCGCCGGGCACTGGGCGGCTCCCCCCTCCCGCCGGCCGGCCTCGCTCACCGCAGCAGCTCCAAGCAGTAGAGGTCACTGCCCGACGCTCCTGGGCCGCTAAGCGCGGCTACGCTCCGCCCGGACACCGCGAGCTCGGGGAGCCTCGGCGAGCGAGCGCGGAGCTCCTGGGGCGGCCGGGGGCGGCACACACCTGGGACACGGCGACGCAGCAGACCCCAGGCGGAGCCCGGCGTGCAGGACGCCATGATGGCGACGGCATCATGTGCCCTTCGACCCTGACGCCCGGCCACGCCCCCGGCCGGCCCGCACGCCCGCCCGCGCACCTCTCGGCAGCCGGAAGCTGGCCCGCCGGGCCGCTCTGGGCAGATCTAGGGGTCGCTGTGGTCCTGGTGGTCCGGCTTTCCGCCTTGGGAAAGCCCTGTCTGGTGAGACCCATGTGGCCTCTCGCTATATCCCGGGTAAGCCTCCGAGAATCTATCCATGAGAAGTGCTGACTGCCCTCTCCACATCCCGCCAGCGCTGCGCCCCAAAGCCTCCAGTGGAAACCGGCCATGGCACTACTGCGCTACCGGGGCGCTAGTAAGCCTCCTGAGACGGGCTCACTGCCTTAGCGTCCATGCCGGCTCTTAACGACCCTATCGGATAAAACTACAGGTAGAACTGCCCCGGGGAGCTTCCAAGACCGGAACTCTTTAAAAACACCGTCGCCTTGGAGTCAGTGCGGACTCTTAGCGACCCCTCTGTGAGCTAACTCACAGACCAACTAGTTACAGGAGTAGAAAGCCCAGTCTTTTCTCTGGGGGTACGTTGGTGGTGGTGGGGGGGGGGAATGGACGGTGGTTTTGAACTGCTGACCTTGCAGTTAGACCAACTTGTAACCACTAGGCCACCAGCGCACCTCCCTCAGGGGGCGGGGGAACAGTCCACAATAGCAGACCACCAAGCGCTTCTACACAATTTTACTAGAACCACTGGCCGCCTTTCACGTCCAGGAGAAACCCGAAGACCCTTACAATGTCACCCGAGACCTGTGCTCACCTGCTTGTTTCACAATGGCTTGCAGTGGTTCTCAACCTTCCTAATGCTGCGACCCTTTAATACAGTTCATGTTGTGGTGACCCCCAACTATAAAATTATTTTAATTGCTACTTTATCACTGTAGTTTTGCTACTGTTATGAATCAGGCGACCCCTGTGAAAGGGTCGTTTGACACCTCCCCTAAAGGGGTCGCGACCCACAGGTTGAGAACCCCTGGCTTAGGGCATGATTTGTTCCATGTGGTCTCCCCAGCCTGAGGTGCACTGCAGAAGCTGAATAAATAGATCTGATCCTTACAGGTGATATTTGGTATCCTATGTGCTAGGCATTTGCGTGATTTCAATTCTTCAAAACTCTTTAAAGCAATTTTTTTTACTTCTCCATACATATGGAAATCGAGACTTGTTATGCGGCTCGTCTATAATTACAGAAATGGTAAGTAGCAGGGTCAGAGTCAAACAGATCTGTATTACTCCAAAGTCCTATTTGGTGTGAAAAGGAGGCCAGACCACAGGCTAGAATTTCCATTTTTGAGCCTTCAAGGTCTAGTATGGAACTCCAAATAGTGAGAAAGTTAATATTTAAACCTAATGTTCCAAGTCCTTATCAAGATATATTTATCAAGGAAACCAAAACCCATTATTATTGAGTCAATTCCAATTCATAGCGACCTCATCATGGCAGGACAGATTTATTTACCAGTGTGCTAGCTTGATGTCTGACTTTTAAATGTGCACTCAACCCCAAATCAAAGCCATTGCCATGCAGTCAATTCCAACTCATAGTAAGTAGGATTTCTGAGGCTATAAATCTTTATGGGAGCAGATAGCCTCATCTTTCTCCTAAGAGACTGCTGGTGGGTTTGAACTGCCAACCTTGTGGTTTGCAGCTTAATGCATATAGAAAAGCATGAAACAAAAGAAGAAGAAGAATTTAAATCTTATTAAGAGACTCCATTTCCTGCCTCCTCATAAGGGATCTGTAAGGCAGGGCTAGAACTGACTTTGAGAGACTGTGATGGACATACTACAAACATCTAGTATCACTACACAAAGGCTGCCTCTGGTAAGTAGCCTTTGAGGAAGTTGGCTGAGGGATCCCAGTGGGGTAATGGAGCTCCATCCTGCCCTGCCTACATCAACAGATAATCTCTTTTGATAAACCCAGCCCTAAGGAACTTAAAGCAGCCCTGGTGACATAGTGTGCTACACATTGAGCTGCTAACCACACTGTCAGTGGTTCGAACCCACCAACCACTCTGGAAAAAAAGATGAGGTTTTGGTAGTTACATAATCTGGTGTCTACTTGAGGCTATTAAAGAGTGAAGGGGTGGAGTCTAGCCTGTCAATCAAGTCACAGCCTGATGATGTCTCCTTGTGGGCATGGCCTTCTCATGAGGATTCTGGGAACTTCCTCTCTTTCTTCCAGGCCACACACTCGCTCTGCCCTCACCTTCCTGCATTCAACATCATTGCATATGCTGTGAGAGTCTTAAAAGGAATTTATGGACTAGTATCGGACATATGGACTAATATTGGGCTTATGGACTTGATCTTGGCTGGGATGTTTTCTCAACATACAATTAATTGCTCTTTGATATAAAGCTCTTTCTTACACACATGAGTTCTCTGGATTTGTTTCTCTAGTCAACCCAGACCAACATAGTTGTCTACTCTCGTAAAGATTTGAAGTCTCTGAAACTGAAAGGGTCAGTTCTCCTCTGTCCTGAGGTCACTATGAATCAGAATTGGCTTAATGGCAGTGAGTTTGGTTTTGAAAGAAGGTTAAAAGGAGCTGTACTTGTCAATAAACTGAACACACTTTAATTGAACATTTTAGTATAATTAAAAGAACACAAGTTTAGGATAGAGGGCAACCTGAGTTTGAATTAAGCTTAAAAAGCAATTTCCCCATGCAATTCATCAGCAAATCCCACTGGCATTTCCTTCTAAGTAGATGTAGAAATCAGTTTCTCACCTTGGGGTTAGCAGTCCAAAGCTTAACTCTTGCTTTTTTGCCTTTCAAGTATCACAGGTGGGTGAAATATCAAATATCACACCTGTAGTGAAAAACATGCAACATTTAACTACAGATTAGTAAGTATGCTCATGCTTACATACCTTGCTTATTGAGTAATCAGCTTATGTGAGGAACAGAAGGATTTCTCTTGTCTCCCCCAAATATATGCCAGACTTAGCTTGAGAATGACTGTTCATTAGGCAGCAAAAATAGGTCAGAGGTTATTCTCCCTAACATCAGCCATCTAGACTATAGTCTGACTCACCCTAAATAAGACCCACTCCCTTCTGATAAGGATAGTGGTGGTCTGTTTACTTGCAGGAGATACCAGAGGGGGCAAACCCGCCCAAGGATGACCAAGGTTAGGTAGCCATTATCAGCTGTCTAGATCAAGCAGACACCACTGTTTATCCCACAACAAATACGGGCACACCCCTAGGTCATCACCCTCTTATTGATTGTATTGCCTGTGTTGCTACCCCTCCCGGTGACTTAGGTTATTGTCCGCTATCAGGGGACTTGCATGCCTCCCAGAATAGTAGTTGTCTGTTTTATTATATGAGACATCAGAGTGATCAAACTTGTTCTAGAATGAATTGTATTGTCCCTTTCTGTGATGTATGACTCTGTAATCAGATCCCCCTAAAGTGATATGATGCATGATTAGCAATAAATAATGAGGCTCCCTGGTTCTCGAGAGGGTGGCTGGAGAAGGTGGCTAAGGAGGACGAAGCAGTGGCTTCCTCTCTGACGGCTAAGCCCCCTCCACGAGGACCATCAAGCGGAGCTGAGGTGAGCAATGCTACCATGAATTGTGTCTGACTCCATTACTTGACTCCATCCTTTAACTCTCATGCTCTCTATGACTTTACTATAATCTCTACTTATTATCGCTGTACAATTGCGCCTACCGAACCTGTATAATTCCAACTCTGTGATAAGCTGGAAAAGGCAAAATTCATGCCAACGAGTAACTTCTGACTTGGAGACCATATGCACGGCCTCATAGCAGCCCTATAGGATAGAGTGGAATCAGTCCCTAGGATTTCTGAGGCTGTAAGTCTCTGTAGGAAAAGGGAACCTTATCTTTATCCCACAGAGCAGCTGGTGGGTTTGAACTGCTGACCTGTGGTTAGCAGCTCAGTGCCTAAGCCTCTATCCCTCCAAGACTTGTTGGGCAAAACCATAGAGACAGTAAAAGATCAGTGGTTTCCAGGGTAGGTAGAGAGGAGAGGCGTGAACTGGTGGCATGGAGGGCATTTGGGGGCCAGTGAAGCTATTCTGCATTACACTGTGGACACATGGCATAATGTGCCCACATTTGTCAAATCCCATAGAACTGTACAACAAAGAGAGTGAACCCTAATGTAAATTACAGACTTTATTCAGAAAACAATATCCACTGCCACTGAGGCCATTCTGGCTCCTAGTAACCCCATGTAGGGTAGCCAAGACTCTAAATCTTACAAGAGCAGGTAGCTTCATCCTTGTCTTGCAGAACAGCTGGTGGATTTTAACTGTGAACCTTCAGTTTAGCAGCCCAATGCCTAGCCCATAGTACCACCAGGGCTGTCTTTTATGGTATGGTTGCTCATTGTGTGATGTAAGATAGTTTGTTCATCTATTCACCCATAGAATGACATCTCAGCTGCTTCTAGTTTTGGCAAATATAAACAGAGTTTCTATAAATATTTATGTGCAGGTTTTTCTATGGCCATACGTTTTCAACTCATGAGGGTAAATACCAAGGAATATAACTGTAGTGAAGCTTATTAGTCCTCCTGGAACTCTACAAATAGGCTTAGAGGACACGGTGGTTTAAAAACATCAATGTGTAGATAACAAAATCCAAATCAGAAGGAAGAAACAGTGTCAGAAGGCTATGGATGACAGTGGAGGCCCAAAATCCATTTGCAGGGTCCACACATGTCTTAAGCCTCTGGTGAATCCTCTGTGACCATAATAGAAGGATGTGAAGACCCTCGTTATCAGACAGAGAGCATGATAAAGTTGATTATGGCATATAATTATGTTAAATTATATCTGTAAAAGCACATCATTTGCTCTCCCTTTTGACCTATTTTAAAGTGTTTAGCTTGTTTTAGTTTCAGTGAAAGGAAAATACACAGGAATGAAGTCTCTGGTGAACCCCCTCTCACCATACAGCAAGGATGTGAATAGCCTTGCT